CACATAACATCAAAGTTGTAGAGCATTTCAAGACGATTTCAACCATATAAACAACTTGTCTTAACTCTCAAAGACCAGAGAGAATTTCTCTGGCCCTAAAATCTGACCTAGTTTTTTCAGTATGTTCATGGATGAAATTTTCTTAGCATGCTTAATATAAATAGAAACTGAGCATATGTACAGCTTCATGGCAATGAATACTACATTTCTTATTCACAAACCTAAGGCTAAATGTTCCTAAATAGAGAGATAGGAAGTTGAAAAAAAACCTGTTTCAGCTGAATTCGTGTAGGGAAATGTAGGGATTTTCAACAAGGCTTGAGATATCTAGGAGCTTGCTTGGACTTCACTTGACCTTCTCCAATAGCCTGCTTGCCTCGAATGTACATGAATCAACATATAGAACTCAACCTGCACAAGCTCAAAATGAAAATGGCAAACACTGTAAATGGAATTACAGTTGGTGTTTGAGGTTTGGGATAGCTTGGATGAGTTGAATGGAAGGTGTTTGAAGCAACTTGGGGCAAAACGCACGAGCCAATTGAGCTATGGAACTCAAGTTGCAGATTCTGCCCTGTTTTGCCAAGGGAATGTGATTTCTGGCTATGGGGTGTTTAGAGGCTCAAGCAATCGTGTTTCTGGCTCAAAGGGGTGTGAGAAAGATGTTCAAACTGTTTGCATAAGTTTATCTTTGCTGGTGTTCAAGTTCTAAGGTTTTGGACAAGTTTCTTGTTTTTGAAGCAAAATGTGGAAGTCATTGAAAACAGGCCTGTACAGGCTATCCTTATGCTTGCATACATTGCTCTTGGCCCCTCCAACTTATGGATTTGATTAGCTGCATAAGATTTTGACCAATGCTCAAGAAATCAGTTTTGACATAAAGCATGATTTTAAGCAAAAATGGAAATTTGCCTTTTTCTACTTAGGGCTTAATTTTGTGTACAATGTGTAAATGACCAAAACAATGGCTTAGACTGATGGATTTGCATTTAATTATTGAGTGTGAAGTGGTTTAGAGGCCTGTAAACTAGTGTAAGGCATGCTGACTTGAAATTGCAACTTGTATGAACATGAATATGCCATGGATGGAAAGTGAGTTTTTGCCAACTTCAAGCCTTCGATTCTCCCTAACCACAAAGGTGTTTGGAGATTTCTTGGACAATTTGGAAAGCTTGCAACATGATCTATAATCCATATTTCAAATTCAACTTGAGATTCCAAGTGGAACTATGTGAAAAATGGCCATGAAGATAGGTCAAAATCCTGCCTAAACTAGGGCAAAATTTCACTAAGTTAAAAGTTTTAGGGACCCTTGTTCCAAAAATCATAACTTGATATCCAAGCTTCTTTTGAGAAAACTTTGTGAATCAAAGTTGTAGACTTTGTGGAGGAATATAACTTTCATGTTGTAGGTTTTGTTTTAATCCATTTGGATCATGGTGAAAATGTAGGGCAAAGTTAGGAAAAATTAAGAAAATTTCATAACTTAGAAAAATTTTAAGTTATGAAAATTTTCAACTTTAAACCCAAATTTGCAATTTTGGGTTTCTTGATGAACAAGTTTCATATTTTGACACATCTTGATGAAAAATGACCCTTGGCACTTGATTTTGACCAAAAAGTCAAAGTTTGACTTTTCAGTGTACAGTCAAATTTTGATCAGTTGACTGAAAAATTCATCTGTCAATCCAATGCAATTGAGGTCTTTTGAACTTGTTGAATAGGTCAAGATGATTCCATTGAGTCCTTGAGTCCATGGTTGAGCCTAATTTTCCATTGGCTAGATCAAAAAGTCAGAAATTGCCTTTGTACAGTCAAAACCCTAAAAATGACCATTTTGCCCTTTTGATGATCTGATCAAATTTCTTGTGGAGTTGTGGTCCAAACTTGATAAAATGGTTCATATGAGTTCATAATGTTGATGTGGGTCAAAATTCATGAGTTTTGACTATAAATTGGCCACAGTTGACTTTTTCCCCAATACAGCTGATTTCTAGGTCAATTGTCCAATTGACTGGGCAAAAATTTGATTCAAGGCTTGAAACTTGGTATGGTCAAACTTATGAGTCCAATATGAAGTATGAAAGTCACTTTGAGCATTAGAAGTCCAAAAATCCATGTGCAAACTCAAACCCTAATTTAGGTCATCAGTGCAAGGAGATGTCTTGAGCAGAGCAAAACCTTAATCCTGTATGGAGTTCAAGGAGCTTTGTGATGAGAAATGTTGATAAAATGAGAGGGAAAATTTTGGGGTACAACACCTGTTATGTACAATACATTGGAAATTACTAACCTATTACCATCTTTCCTCATGATCATAACATCACCAATACCTTCAGCTGATAGGGTATTGTCATTTGCAAATTTTACCATATTTTTCGTTGAGGGCTTTATGTTGACAAACCAGTCTTTCCTTCCAGACATATGTGATGAACATCCTGAATCCAAGTACCATTGGTCCTTGAATCTATCTCCATCTTTTGTTGTGACCATCAGCATCATCTCTTCTTCTTCATGTTTTGCAAGCTTTGCATCACTTTCTTGATTCTTTCGTTTTTCTGGATAATCACTCGAATAATGTCCATACTTCTGACAATTGTAACATTAAATGTGACTCTTATCAGGTTTTCGACCACCACCTCTTCCTCTATTTGCAACACCACCTCTTTGGTTTCCTTGGTATGAACTTCTTTGATTCGACATGTTTCCTTCGATCTGGTTTCCTCTACCATTCGATTTGTTGTAGCCACCTCTACCTATGTCGAAACACTTTCCTTCGCCTTTGGTTTCTTTTGCTGAATATGTTTGCAAGGCCACATCACTCTTTGATTTGCCGGCAACTCTTTCATTCATTCTTTGTTCATGAGATTCAAGCGTCACTTGAAGCTCTTCCTTTGTCAATTTCAACAAGTCTTTCCCCTCTTCTATCGCCACCACTATGTGGTCGAACTTAGGAGCTAAAGATCTCAAGATCTTTGAAACAACAGCTCTTATTGTTAACGTTTCTCCACATATCTTGATTTGATTTACTAGTTTTGAAACTCTAGTGAAGAAATCAGATATGCTTTCACTGTCTTCCATCTGAAGCAGTTCATAGGTCCTTTTGTGAGTTTGTAACCTCACTTCTTTCACTTTCTCAGCGCCTCCAAAAGACTTCTCAAGGATTTCCCAAGCTTCTTTTGCAGATTCTGAATCATTAACCTTTTCAAAATTGTCTGGGCTGACACATTGATGAATTATAAATAATGCTTTATAACTCAACTTCGCAGATTCTGTGTATTTCTTCTTTTCTTCTTCTGAAGCGTTTTCTCCAAGCGCTTCAACTCCATCTTTTACAAGGTCCCAAAGACCTTGACACCTGAATAAGACTTTCATCTGTTTGCACCAATTCTCATAGTTGTCAACTTTCAGAATTGGTAGCGTTGCTGAATAATTTGCATTCTCATAACTTGTCATTGTGAATTCTTCAATCGTTCTTGATTGATACTTCCCTTGAATCAAAACAAAGCTCTTGATACTAGATGTTGGAAATCCACCAAATTCTATGATGAATTTCTACCACAATGACAATTTAATTATGAGACAAACAAAGAAAAGAAGACAAGACAAATAATTTCTGCAGAGTTTCTCTCTGCTCACAAACTGTGAAAACTTTCTTATTCACTTTGCAACTGCAAAATAATGTGAATGACTTGTTTGACTTGCTTATAAAAAATAGAGATTACTCCCTTTATTTATAACTGAGCTTGCACCCTAAGCGCAAAGCTCAAAATATCTATTTTATTACTAAATCAAATATAATCTATTCTAGACTTAAATCAAATCTATTTAAATTTAAAACAAATCTAATCTTTTCGACACTATAAATTATAATTTAACAATAATCTCCATTTTACTCATATTTCTAAACCATACCATCTTCTACCACCTCCCCCACCAAAGAGACACTTAAGATCTCAGCAGCCATTACACAAACAAGGAATTAATAGTTTGTACATCTCACTGTTTAGTATTAGGTAGGATGAATTCTTAAGTGTGTGTAAATTGAATGTATAATATATCTATCCGTGTGTATACTTTGGATTTTTAATTGTATTTATTATGTTTTTATATTTTATTTTAAAAAATTGAATACATTTATTCTTGTATTTTTTTTATCAATGATTGTTTTGTTAGAAGCCTGAAGTTAGTTTGAAGAGAATAAAGTGTGAACTCGTCAAGGAATTGATATTACTCCTTTCGTTTTAAAATGAGTATCATTTTATAGAAAAAAATGTTTTAAATTAAATGTCATTCTGATTTTTCAATATAGTAATAATAGCTATTTTTTCAATTGTGTTCTATAATTATTATTCTACATACTATTTCCAATAAATTAATTAGATTAATTTAATAAGAATATAACATCTCATAACAATATAATTGCATTTATTAATATGTGTAAGGACACTCATTTCAAAACGGATTAAACAATATGGAATCATACTTGGAGGTATGTAATATTATGAAGAAAAAAAATGGACCATGAATTTGGAAATCAGATCCCATAATGTCATAGTTTTGCCACACCATTCTACACATTTGTAATTGTTATATCAAAATTAAACGGTCCAAATTTTAATACAATTTTTAATTTATTATAAAATAAAATATATTAAGTTTTAAATATAAATCATTTGATTTTCATTCTACGTGAATGGGCCGAATGCATGAATACATGCATATATAAAATAAAATATTAACTTTTAATTTATCATATTTTAATCCATTTCAAATTATCCTAATAAAAATGAAGGTATATAACAAAATAATAAGTTTCTATTTGATGTTGATGTAAAACATATCATTTAAATCATATTTTCGAGGGATTTTTTTTTGTTTGGGATGGTAACAATACTCGCATTATATAAATAGCTAAAGAAAAAGCAACATAAGAAAAACAACACTTATTGAGGATATTATTTTAAAATTCACATAATCACCGCAATAACTAATCACACTTATCCTTGTTGGCCCTTGTTTACCCCTTTAGTATCCTGGCCCACAGGAGCCCCAGCCGGTCTCATGTCATTGCTGAAAACCGGAGCAACCCCTTGATACTGCGGCGCATGAACCATCCCTCCAGGCGCAGTATAGTAAATATGTCTCCCACTTGCACTATCATACGCCACTTGCGCATACCCAGCAGCTCCCGCATTATCCGCTACTCCAGCTGGTCTAACTAAGCCATATCCTTCCGCATAACCAGAAGGTTTGACCTGCTGAGCCGGTGCTAAATTCCCCTGACCCGCAGACGAAAACGCGACATTCTGATGTTGAACGCCACCATACACCGGCTGTTCCCGGTATCCATCAGAAGACATTCGCTGCACTGCGTAGTACCCCTGAGTCACCTGCGCCGCCGGTGGACGCATCACCTGAGGCGCGTGATAGAATGTTCCCGGTGTCGGCATCATGTAAACATGCTGGTCTCCTCCACCGGAAGTGTTCATCCCTGTCATCGGGAAACCGTCGCTGGAAAATTGTTTTTCCGGCCAGTAACCCGAGGGTTGATGAACAGCAGTTGGCGAATTCGAAGGAGCCACTTTCTCCAGCATCTTGTGCGTGTAAAAATCGCCTCCGGAAGTAGCAGCAGCGGGATATCCACCGGTGAATCCATCTACACTTCTCCGATACAAGGACTGCTCACTCTCAGAAACCTGCAAACGCTGTAATTGCCTCTGAATCTCAACACTATCATCCGCAAGTCCACGTGGCGGATACTCAGGTTGTTGCGCAACAAGATCTGGCACAGGCTCGTGATATTTCACAGCAGCATAGGAAGGAGGTTGAACCGGTGGAGCTAGGGTTTTGTTATCAAGACCAAAGAGGAAATCAGCGTTGGATTGAGGTTTAAGTAGATCGGGTTGAGAAATCGAAATCGAACCAGAATTTGGAGTGATGAATATGAAGAGCCTCATTCGAACTGGTTTTGAGGAAGGACGATAGAGGCGATCGTACTCATGCATGAGGTGTTCGAGGTCGTCTTCTGTTGTGACAGAGATAAGAGCGTCAAGTTCTTCACCGGGAAGCTGGTACTTGAAACTTATCTCTTGTGGAATAGCGTCGCAGAGAGTGGAGAGCTTGGAGAGGAAGGCTTGGAACTTGATGTTTCGGTCGACGGCTAATATTTTAGTGTCGCCGCCGATATAAGAAAGCTGGTTGTCGTGGCTGCGTGGTTGGATCTTTCCGCCGTAGCTGCACATGAACTTGGCTTTGTAGTTCTGCTGGTCTTCCCATGACGATGGATTGTCGAAATCGATATCTCTTGAACGTGGTGACGAGTGGCCGGAATCTGGATATGACGGAGGATATTGATAGGTCTCCATTGTAATAAGTGTTTCACAAGAGTTCGCTTTATGCTTCTTTAATGAAGACCCCGCGAAAAAGAGGAGGCGTTTTCTGCTTGATTAATTTTTAAATGTTTTTATATTTTATTATTCAGATTTTTCTAAGGTGTTGTTTCGGGTTTGATAAATGAGGGTGACGTTGTGATTGCTATGGCTTCTTGTTTGAACACGTGGTTGAAAATATGGTTGGAGGCGCGTTGGTGATGGTGAGGATAACATTATTTGTTGCCTGGTGGAAACGGAATAGCTGGACATTTTGGTGGTAGGGTCAAGGGGACCCACATAGCATTGATTGAGAGAGTGAGAAGAGATAAGAGTGTGATTCATTGTGTTGTTGACTTGAAACTGACTCTTTTCTCCCGTTGAATTATGTGGCAGGGTACCTTCTCTCACTAGAAATATTGGTCATTTTTTTCTACATGTTCAATGTATTTCCATTTTCAGAAAAACAAATAGGAGTATATGTTACTATGAGAATTATTACTAGTGACTTGCGATTTTGTGGAAACTCCCAACCCAAAACCTATGTTTGTATTTGGTTCTTAACCTTCGGTGGATAAGGAAAGTGCTTTTGTAGTGTATTCCGAACGCACTTGATTCCTCATAATTGAAATTGTATGCCCATTAAGGTTGGCATCAGATTACCAACTAGCATATAAATATGCTTATTTGGCAAGTTTTAAAAGAATCATAATTAATTAAGATATGTAGATGAGAGAAATAGTGTCAAAGTAATATGGTGGAGTGGCTAAATTGTTTTTCAAGAGACCAAAAGTTGTGTATTTTTTGTAGAGGACGAAAATGGACCTGATCTTTTGTAAGGGACAGTCTTCATTCTAAAATTAAATTTATCTAAAATTAAATTTATCTAGACAATCGGTTTGTTACATGTCATTATATTCTTTTAACCTTTCCCACCACCAAAGAAAAGTATTTGTTACTGCAGTAGCATGCTTGGGTCGCTTGATTGCTTAGATAGTTTATATTTTACTTGCTTCAACAACTATTTACCAATAATATTTCTAAGAGACACTAAATGTTAGCTGCAAGGCTTTAGCACCAAGTAAAGTCTGAAACAATCATGTTAGATTTTGTATGAGTCAACAGCTTCAAATAGTAATGATTATATGCCCGGCAGTTCAATGTTTAAATGGAACTAAAGACATACATTTAGCAAAACTAAACGCCCTGCTTCTCAACGTTCTCATCCACAGCATCACTAGGTTTGTCCAGCCCTGAAGGTATCTTGCCTGGATAGTTAGTTGTTGATGCTTCCAACCCTATCATGCTGGATGAAAAACATAAATTAAACCAATCCTGATTGAGATTAGAGCTTTTAGTGTGAAGGTATATGGGTTGTTTGCAAACTCACCTTCTATCCACAATGACCATGGAGCGAAGCTCACAGTTGGCAAAGCTGCAAAGGTATGTTAAATCAGTCAATCATTTGCTTCAATCTATAAACTGACAAATAGCTACCACTAAGAATAGCTTATACTAAGGCACCAAGTCAGATTAGTCATTATGTTTAATACTAACAGTTGCAGGAACTTGATCCCAAATTAAAGAATCTAAAGCACTGAATGAAACTGAGCACTACTACATCAGAAGCAACAATTCATGCTTCACATAACAAGAGAAGCGAATCACAAATTGCTAGTTTGGTTTGTAGAGGTGTTGATAGAGCTTACTGCTTGGATATTTCTTTCTTCACCGAGGGGTGGCAATCATTTCCAAATGCAGTTAGAGTGTGAAACAAGAATCCACTGTGTGTTACAATCGCTATCTCCTTCTCTTTTCGTGTCCACAACCTGAGATCAAGTTAAAGCCAAAGTAACTGAGAGGTCAAAAAAACAACAAAATATATTTTCGGAACATATACATGAATCTTTAATAAATGATAGTAGCTGCATATCTGAATCAATACAAAAACTAGATATCTAGTTTTTTTTTTTATCACAGTATGAGACATTAAAGTAGTGATCAGAATGAAGAAATGATAGCTTGCTGACATATTAGACTAAGAAACTAAACAAATAATATTATCTTCAAACATCGACGGTCACAATAGAGCTCAGTGACAGCATCAAGAGCATCTCATTTACATTAGCACACATTCTGCTATATCTAGTAAACTTGGTAAAATGTAAAATTTGAAATGAATTTCAGTAAAGATAAGTTGATCGTGTCTTCCTGTTTGGAAAGAGTCATACTGTATATTGGCTGTTAGTTTTAGATTGTGGGAACCTTGGACGAAAGGAAGTAAAAGGGGCTTCTTGAAAAATGTCTTGGAATGTGTAAAATATCAGTTTTACGTCAATTTAGTGTTGGATGAAATAGGCTGATAATAGATTTCATTAACTTAGTCGTATATTAAAATCCAACTTAAGTGTTTCTCAAATGCAGTATTAACAAAATCTTGGAGTATTCTTGTTGCAAGGGCTGACACACATACCAGTTCATGAACTTCAGCCCCCTAGCTGCAAGTTCCTCCTTTGTCTCTCTCACATCTTCCTTCCACCAAACATCCTCATCACTGTCTATCTGAAACAAACACTTAAAGAGACTAATATAAACCCAAAGGCAACAATCAAATTTTGGCTAACTTTTGTACGGCTAAAGAAAGGAATAAGTTATAAGCTATCTTCCATAAAATCATAAACCATGTGCATTCAGGAAGTTAAAGTATAAGCACTTGCCAGTGAAAAATCAACAGCAGGAAAAAGAAACTGGTACTCGCTAACACTTCTTCTTCTGTCACAGGGATGAACTCCCTACATGAGGAAAAATGTGGAGAAATTTGTAAGGTTCGTAATCCATATGTCTGTCAATGTTAATGTCAAGCCTAAGAAACCGTATTTTCTCAGAAGAGAAACTTATGATAATTTTGTAGCTGGTATAAAGAAAATAAAGAAGCAGCAAATAAATGAATTGATTGCATCCTTTCTCCTATATTACTAATATATATATACAGCCAAGCTTTAAATTTATTGCCATTTTCTCATTCAATATTTTTATGCTTCAATCATTCAATCACCCGTAAAATTTGTCCAGCAGACCAGCACTGCCTAACAATCGCTCTTCATAACATTTTTTTGGGTTTATTCTAGTCAATTAACTGGGAATCGCAGAATAAAGTCTGTCAACGGTAAAGTAGTAATAAAATTCTTAGTTTCTTCCTTCTCCCCCTGAAGTGAGAAGCAAGATTCCAACTTAACAATGGCTGTGCAGGTAGTAGGCGTTACCTTAACAGTTAAAATGTTGTAATGACGAAGACACACAACCAGTCATACTGAGATAAAGATCAAACTTGTTAATTAACTCTAGCACGTGTACCAAGAATAACATAATGCTCACTCTCCTAAAACAGGTAAAAACATGTTCAAAATGTAGAATTACATACCAAATGTTCACGACAAAGTTCGCCAGCAACAATTGGTGGGCAATTAAGACTTGAAATTGCAGCACGAAAGCTATTTCCTGCATTTGCCACCATAAGAGGCACCACATCCGTTTTATCACCACTGTATCCCTCCCCACCAAATACCCCAACAGCTGTTTGCAAAGTCCTGAAGCCGTAATTTGTAGGAAACACGTCACAAAGTAATTTTCACAAGAAAAACATATCTAGTGTATCTTTAGGATCCCATATTTATTCATGAGGAAACTTGAACACATCAGGGACAAGATATAAAGTAGTACCATGTGGTAATTTGGGTTTCTAAAAGCACACATCTAACAAATTGGTCCCCAAAAGTTATGAATGCATTACCAAACTCAACTTTCAAATTGAAATTGGACCACTAATACAAAAGAGGAATCAATTAACAGAAATAACAAAACCTCATCAAAGGCGAAGCTATAACGAGATCAATCTTGTTTATCAATCCAGAGGATCGAACATGCTTCCGCAAATTATCAACCTGTTCCCATCCGAGAGGAGTGAGATGAGCATCGAAATATTCAGGATTCAAGTACGCTTTGTAGTTCTTATCTCCCTCCACATTGTGGATCCCCTGAGCGTGTCTCACGAGGTGAATGGTTTTGCAGCGATGTAACGGAAACAAACACGTGCCGGAGGTGCAATCCATACTGCTCCGAGTCTGAGAAACAGCAATCGGAGAAGGTCAACGGTTGAATCAAGAACGAAGAAAGAGGGTGCAGGGAAAGTAACGTACCCTAGCAGTAGCAGATCGAGAGAGAAAGCGGGAACAAGAGGAATCTTTGTGGTGTGTGAATGAGTGGGTGTGTTGTATTTTATTTTGATTTTGATTTTTCTTCTTCGTGCTTGTTGTTCATTCGCTCTCGACACTTCTGCGAGCGAGACTGTTGTTGGCTGTCAACTTGTTTGTTAGTCCGAATTATTTCCATTTCCAATAAGTTCATCGCATAGCTTATCCAACTAAATTATTGCAAAAAAGATACATATTTTCGAGTGCCAAAAATCCCCAAATCCTCTTCTTTTTATTTTTTTAATCCGACACCTAAATCATTTTTTAAATCATCATAAATTTGATAAAATATTTATTTTGGTCTATTAACTATACTCTTAAATTTAGATTATTTAATTTTTTTTTTTTCGTGTCATTTTAGTTATTTAACTTTTAAAAAAAATTTGTTCTGGATTGGGCTTGTCTTGGTCCAACTCCATATGAGGACCAGCCCAACAATGTTGTTGAAGACCAGTTGTCTGAATCTGCCATCGACTGTGTCGAGCAATAGCCCACACGAGAATAAACTCAAGGAGATGCGAGCAGGAGCATCGCAGGTCAAAAGGACCTCGAAGAATATCCTCTAGGCTTCTCCTCGAGCAAGGTCGGTCCTCCCCTGACGGCCTCATGACTGGCGAGGATCCTGCGCGACGGGCATAAGTACCTGTTTCCAGTGATTTCTGGTAAACAACCACTAGTCTTCCAAACTATCGAATAAACTTACTGACTGTTATTCAATTTCTCTGGTAACTCGCAGGATCGACTAGATTGATCCTAGGACTTATTGGTCATTAGGGTAACTCTCACGATCGAACAGGTATTCATGGTTGGTATTTAGAGTGTTGTGTAGGTGTTTGACTTATTTCGATTTCTCTCTTAAAGATCTAAAGGTGTAATCAAAATATATGTGCGCGAAAACTAAATTGCATGAATAAATGTTAATTGTAAAGACATATAAAATTCATATAAGACAAGTAAATGGCTTCGAATTATAAAAACAGTTAATGTAAAAGATGTTCTGGAACGTAAAAGATTCGAAATACGAAGAAAGTGTTTAATGCAAGAAATCTGTAAAATGACTTTAAGTAAAAGAGGCGTTCGAAGGATAAAACTTGAAGGTAAAGGCATGAAAAGTATGACAGTTTTCTGAAATGCAAATTGTTTGAAATGGAAAGAAAGCATTAAAATGTAAGGCTTCAATGAAAAGATTTCGAATAAAAAGACTTTAAATGAGAAAACTTGTAAATGGTATTTGGCAGAAAGATAAAGGAAAGTTCTGGAAATGATAAAGGGTCTTCATTAAATCATAAACATGTGGTGCTATCATACGTACATTGCTCTTGCATTCGTTTCCCTTGCCATGTGGTAATTTGAATGTTTACTGAGTATTTAGTACAATAGATATGACACCCGAAATCCTAATACTAAGACTTCTATTTATACTAATTCGACCATAACGGTCTTGCTATAAGATTATGCCACGTTCAGAACATGCAGAACAATGCCTCTCTCTTGTTTCCACGTGTCTCCAAATGCTCCAGCACATAAATTTCAAACTTCGAATGTCCCGCTTGCATTTGAATTTCAAATGTTTTGGTACTTCTCCGCTTCGAACGCACTTCTCAGACACAGCCTTGTTGTCATTTCGAGACTTCTTTAGATATGTTCCCATAATTGCCACTCGAAGCTCTAAGCTTTGATATGCTTATTCGAAACACTGCTTCTGCTATTTCGAAACATGACGCTTTGTTTCATTTCGATCGAAACGTTCAATTCACTTGGCTTCTAATAATATTATCAAAATCTTCAGCCAACAAAATGCCCCTTTAAAATATGTATTTCGATCTCTCTGAGAAATACTTATTTTAAACATCTACACAAGATTTTGATGCGACCTTCGAATCATCGTAACATTTAATGCATTTGACTCCAGTCACGTCAATCATAACACTTTTGGATTCCTTAACCGCCTGGAGCCACTTCACAGTATGGTGCAGTTACAAAACAATGATTATCTTTAATCACGCCTATTACCCATGTTAACTTTACGCCACCTCTTCATCAAACCAACCCATGATTTCCACGTATCACAACCTTATTCAGTGGATGCTTAAACTTCCACATTATAAAACATCATCAACTTAGTCTTTTTCTTTTCTTTCCATATTCTGAATCTTTTATCCTTCTTCTCTCGCCAAAAAAAACCCTAAGCTTTCAACATTCTTCAAAAATGTCTTCTTCTACTTCATCCCAACTAAAAAAGGTTTCCAAGAAGAAAGGAAAGACCGCAGGAACTATCATGGAAAGTAAAGTTATTACTCACCAAGCTCAATCCGTTCTTGCTCCCCAGATGATCTCAAAGGAGAAAGAAATGCTTTATGCATCACAGGTACTCATTCCTACCACCGCTGCTGGTAAGAGGTTAGCTTTAATGGGCCCTCTTACGGTTTTTGAAATTTTAAAAGATATCAGGACAATTTTCCCAGTTTGCTATAGTTTCAAACCCTTGTTTAACAAAATGGACGCCCCTAAGGCAATAGAATCTTCTGGCTCAAACACCATGGAAAATCCAACTGTTCCTCCTAAGGACCCTTTTGTATTAGACTATGTAAAAAGTAATTTTAAACCGTTTCGATCTTGCCCCACCTCCGACACTGCTTATCAAAACTGTTTCAATAAGGTAGAAGCTAAGAAATCCCAGCAATGGGAAGAATTAGGTATCTACAACTTGATTAAGCTGTCGAAGCCTGATTTCACTTACAGCCACCCTTTGTTATTCGCGTCCCTCTATTTCTGGGACAGTACCTATAATACTTTCCATCTCCCTGGTGGAATGATCACCCCTACCTTCTTCGACATAGCGGCCATCACTGGGCTATCGCCAGTAGGAGAAACATATATCCCTGACAACAAAGAACATTCGAGTATAATCGACTTCGAAGTCAAACTAGCAAGTTTTTCCAAGTTTATCAGTCATTACCATGCTGAGGGAGACAGTGTATCTGATGTAGAACACATTGCTTTCCTTACCCTATGGCTGTCAAGATACGTCTTCTACAGTAGATCCCTACAGGTAGTCAGTAGGTTTATTCCTCTAGCTAGGGATTTGCATGAAAATCGAAGAGTGTGCTTAAGTGAACTGCTCTTAGTTGACCTTTATGAAAGCCTAAGGTCAGCTGTTTCGAGCCTAAAATCTCATACCTCCAAGAATATCCTGTTGGCTGGCCCTTTTTGGTTACTTCAGCTATGGCTAAATGCCATGTTCGAACCCTCCTTGTCAACTGCCAACACCATTGATGAACAAGACCCTGAGATAACTGATAGAATAGTCGAAGGCACTAGGCTGCGAAGATTAACTCCAAATGACGACAAAGACGACTTCAAAGTCCTATTCTCGAAGTACATCATGATATTCTCCAAAAGGCATAAGTTCGAAGAGACCATGGCGCCTTTTGCTTCAAGGGCTCATGGACCTTCCTGGTTCACCATGGCTCTCTCAGAAGCTGTCAAGAGCAAGGAGATTCAGGATGTATGGAGAGCCTTTTTGCTACCTAGACTCATTTCTTCAAGAATAACTCCTGCCAAGAATCAGATTTTCCTTTTCGCTTACCAGCCAAATTTTGTTTCGAGATAGTTTGGCCTATGCCAACTAATTCCTGAACCCTTATTTCAAACTGAGAGTGCCATTACCTCTGGGCGAACTTTCAAGGCACGGGAAGCCAAATTACAGCAAGAACAATACCAAGGCTTTGCCCAGTTTGAGCTAATAACCTTCGAACCTACCCATCTCACAGCTAAGGGGTTTCTGGAATGGTGGACCAAGTTTTATCAAACTTATATGTTCGATACTCTTACAATTCAACAGAAACTAATTGATGCCTTCGATGTGCAGGTACCAGCCAAGAAAGGTATGTTTACTCATGCCAAAGAGATTAAAGCTTTTCAAAATTATTTTGAAACTACTTATGATCCCACGCGCTTGGAATCCACTGTGCATCAAGCGGCTGAGACCTTGAAGGAAAAATTCAAACAAAAAGTTTCTAAGTTAAAACTTTCTTCAGGGTTGTCACCTGAGGATAGGTATAGGTTGGCATTCGAAATGCATCCACCTAAATTCCCTAGATTACCTACCTCAGAACTGGCTCTGGCTTGGTTTCCCCCATATCCTTGGTGGTTCACTTGCAAAGAGATGTTCAAACATCTTCAAAAGAAACCAAAGCCATCTGAGACTGTGACATGGGCTCGACACTGGCTCCACGATTTCCCAGGACACCTTCGATACGACCTTTCTTCCATGTCGATTAAATCTGATCAAGGCACAGATGCGAATGCTTGGGAAAATCCCAAACGTTTTTCATTTTCCATATCTTTAACCTTTGCTTTAATTGTTTCGATTTTCAGCCATCAGGATAAAGACAGCCGCTTCGAAGTCGAAAGAAGGGAGCGCCTCTCAAGCCTCTACTGAAACCACTGACAAAGTGACTCCATCCAAAACAACAACCATTGATGCAACAACCACAACAACAATACCAACAACAACCAGTGTTCCAACTCCAACGGTAATCACTTAGCCTTGATGTTTCGAATTCACTCATGTTTTATGGTTTGCATCTAACTCTTTGTTTAAATCTTTTCAGACCAACAAACTTCCTCCTACTACTCCCAAGAAGCGAAAATCAAACACCACTGGGGAAGACCCCAAGGCTGGAGGAAACTTACCAACTGCTTCGAAGAAGAAGCAGAAGAAGGATATTTTGAAAAGTACCGTTCCAACTAGTGTCTCTGGACTTGATTCCAGGGATGCTGCTCCCTCACCCAAATCCAAAATTTCACCTTCGACCTCCAACGTAATGTTGGAACGCATAGATAGTAACCTCTCC